AGAGAGAGAGAGAGAGAGAGAGAGAGAGGGAGGGAGGGAAGAGGGAAGATTGGAAATGAATGATAAAAAAGGAATGGAAAATGATGATTTTGTTGTTGAATCATCTGAAAAATAATTATTTTCCCGCTTGTTTATATTTCTTAAAGGTTTCGTTTTTTTTCCCCCCCCCCCACTTTGTTTTGCTTTTTGTTGTGTCTTTCAAAAAATTAACTTATTTGTCTGAAGTGAAGGAGAGAGGAAGAGAGAGAGAGAGAAAGAGAGAGAGAGAGAAATGAAGGGAGGAAAAGAGGAAGTGAGATGAAAAAAAAAGTAGAGAAAACTTTTGGAAATAAATTTTTAAAATCTTTTTTTAAAATTTTCTTTTTGCACTAAACAGTTGTAGTCATTATTTTAATAAAAAGAGTTGAAATATATTTTAAATGTCTTAAAAATTTATTTCAAATTCTACTAATTAAATTAAGCACGTTAACTGTGACTTTTACACTTCTAACAACATGAAATCAATGCAATCATTGTTTTCACACATTTTGAACATTAATATATTTGATGTGTATAATGTGAATTCATCGAACTTTTAGTAAAATGATAAATAAATCAGAATTCATTTCAATTATCAATTGTATTATACTATTTTTGATCACATGACCTGCTAATTTAACAGATTTATTTTAATAGATATTATACATTAAAGTAAATTTCTGTTAAATTTTGTTAATAAGAATAGTGGAAAATATGATATTCTAGAAATTTGATGTTTTTTTTTTTCTTTCTTTGCCCTTTTTGTTCCGTAATATATTTTATGATTGAAAATCAGATAATGCATACGTCAACGTGCAAATATATAATGAATTTGAATAAAGTAAAATGCATCATTTTGCAATATTAATTATTTAATGCATTTAAAAATTTTGACTAAGCAAAAGCAATCACATATTTTATGATTTTAATATTAGAACAAAAAATTTAACTACAAATGAATCAAAAAGACAACAATTAGTAATAATTGGTATAATTCGTTTTTCATTGTTTTCACAAAAAAAAAAACGAAATTTCAAAAGGTTGTTTTATAAATTTTATTAATAAATGGTATTATCATGGTAAAACTATTCTATAAGTGGGATAATATTTTAGAAATGATCCGAAAAGAAAAATAACAATGTGGTATTTTGTTCATCCATTTGTTGGCAAAATTTATTGAAATTAAATTCAAACTTCGAGTAGTCTTAAAAAAACAAGTTTTTCAACAAAATTAGTTTTTTTTTTCTCTGACATGAATGATTCATTTTTTTATTTTTAATTGTGAAATTTTCGAAGAGAAAGTTGCAAGAATTAATGATTTATACTTTCCATTTCAATTACTGAAAAGTTTTTTTTTGTACAATAAAGAAGCAAATTTTCGATTGTTTCAGAAATTCTAATTGTAGCAATAAGATAAATAGCTTTTAATTTTTGGTTCCTTATATTTTTGCTCTCTGTTCATTATGATTTCTCTTTCACCAAACTATGCGATTAAAATTAAATTCAAACTTCGATCAATTTTAATTTTATTCTTAAATCAAATCTTTATTACAAGCATGAAAACAAATGCAATATTACAATATTAAATTGTAATCATAGCCGTTTGTTAATGTACCATGTAATATTGATGTGCTATTAGCAAAATGAAAAATGATTTGTACTACTTATAATAATTGTTTATTTGGTTATTTCAATTTCAGTTATTTTTTTTTCTAAAATAATTTCAAAAAATGAATAATAAACAAAAGGAGTTTGAGATGGAATTAAATGAAATAAAAACGTAACGAAAGTACAAATAATGCTGTAAATGGGGTTCCTGTGACGAGAAAAAAAGAAGGAATTGATGCAGCATTTTATCTTTTTCTTTTTTTTGAATCTATTTAAAGTGATTGTGGGAAAATACGTAAAGCTAATAAATATTATATTCTAATAATCGTATGCTATACATTTAAGCATTTTTCTTTGCTTCAGGAAATTGAAAATTGTTAGTAAAAAAGAGGAAAATCAACAAGATGTTATAAAACATAGCCTCAATATTGCAAAGCATTCATTCTCAAATTGACAAATAACTGTGAAGGCTGCTTTAATAAAAAAAAAAGAGTGAGGAATGGTCAATTTGAGATTTTTATTGTCACCAAAAATGACACTTAATTGTTCCGTTACTGGAAAATTTTCGACAAAGTAAAAAATTACTAAACAAATAAAATAATATGAAATAAATAACAACTAAAGCTTCATTAAGCTGTCTAATGTAGCAAATTATGCTCCAATGTACAGCTAAACGATTCGATGAAATAACCACTTGAAAAATTATAAGGCATGGAGGAGAATTTTCAACTATTTCAATCCTAAGGGTCCTTGAGCTTCATTCTGGATCATTTGATGCTCCTGAAACCGTAATGACATCCTCTGAGTCATTTTCAGAAATTTATCAAGACAATTCGAACAGCATTGTTCCTCGGAGTTACTTACTATCCTACAATATGCATATACAAATTAACCGTAATATTGTTAGTCAAAAAATAATTTTTCCTGAGGAAAAATAAACTTTAGATTTATAAAAATAAAAAGCCATTAAAAATTACATAAATTATTGATAAAATAAATTTCGTTTTTTTCTATTTGCTGAATATTTTAACTTTCTGCAGAAAAATAAAGAGAATTTATTCAATGGAAAAAAGATGGAAATTTCCCATTAATTCATCTTCCTCTTTGACATTCAAAAAGTCATCCCATATTGTGGGAAAATGTCAAACCCGTAAGTTCTCATCTAACTTCACAGTTCATTTGCATACTTACTGACAACATCATATCCAAATTCAAAAGTCTTTTCTATCTTAAGAGCGAAGTCTTTCCAATAAAAAAAAAATTTACGGAGAGGGAAGAAAAAAAACAGAATATCAAAACAACAAACTAGGATTTTGAATGCAAAAATTTGTATGAAAATATTTTCAATTTCACCTTAAGACTTTTTTTAAATGTTTCTTATATAGTAGATCTAAAAAAAAAGCTTAGCTTTTTCAACACTTTTCCTACGCAATAAAACCAAAGAGAAATTTACAATCGCTATCAAAAGTTTTTCTAATAAATCTGAAGAGAAGCTTACCTCGTGGTAAAATCGGTAATGCAAGATGTGAAGCATTGTTCTGCAACGGCATTATACTGCGTCAAAAAATCTTTAAACGTCTTCAAATCTGTTTCTGTTGCATTTTCAGCCATATTTATTGCCTTCAAATTGACCAAGAAAGAAAAAGAAAATTCGTTCAACTATTGAATGCTCTCAAAAAAAGAGACCTG